AGCTTGGATATTTTTTGAGTAGCAAAGCACCAAATATTGTCTCATTGGTATTCTGAAGAAGTAGTGCCATGACGTTGACTGTGGACGCAATGGGATTTAGTTAAATTGAAAATGGCACCCATCACTGGTTTTAGGGTAAAAAAAGGTTCTTTAATGAATAATAGGAGCATTCGAAGCCATCAGATTATTAGAATAAAATTACAATACCATTAAAGTCAGATCCGATAGTGAAAAAGATTTAAAAGAATTTTTTTTCTATGAAATAATTCATTACAATTCAAAAGCTCTAAACATTAATTTAATTCTATCAATAGTATACAGTAGTTCATAATTTCGTTGACCACAAATTATTTCTATTAATCCAAGTGAAACTTGATAAAAAATTATTTAAAGAATACAATCAAAAGAGCAAAATATCGAGCGAAGGATTTCTCGCTTTATTAATTCTTTTTGCAATGCAAAGTTTGCATATTATATTTGAAGTAGTTGATTATCAACTCCAGGATGATGGTTGCATTAATCGTTACATCAATCTACAAAACAAGAGTGCAGCATATGGCATAAGTACCGTTAGAAATTATGTATGTAGATCAGCATGAAGAAGAAGATATGTGTTTATACAAAAAAAATTAATGATTAATAAAACAAAGTTGTGACTTCCTGATCAACACTCACATGACTGGCATTTGATATTGCTACTAACAAGATTTCTGGTGACTGTACTACCGAGTTGGGAGGTACCTCTGTCACTGTCGAGACGTAGCACGATAAAAATACATATTTCAGTGACTTGCCTAGAGTGTTCACTCCTAATGAATCCAAAGAACTCTTCAAGAACCGCCCACGTTAAGACACATTTCTTGTATGCGTTGGATCTGGCATCTATATCTCTTCTGCTACTGTCTTAAGACAGTGCATAAATTCGCCAGTGAAAAAAGGTGTGTTAATTTAACACACTTTATGTGTCCAAAATGATCGACATAAATTATGCTAATTTAACATGATGTGTGTGTTAAAATGTGTTATATATCTTCCCATAAACACCTAACATAAAAATTATTTTAACGGTTTCTGAAGGGAATTGATCATCATCCATTCTTATAGATGATGCTAAAAAAAGTAATCTGTCACTTTATTAATCGATTGACTCCATTAAAATTCACATAATTAAGAAATTTCGTAGGTTTTATGAATAACAGCTTACTATTGGAATTAATTAGAATGCTGAATATTAAATGGACATTAAAAAAGGTCAAAAACATCAGAATGATGCAGTTGATTGATTTCATGTAGTTATATCAGTAAATTTTTTTTAAATTATCGATACATTCAATGAAAATAAGTTGATAGCTTTTTTGGTAGCTTTTTAGTCTGTTTTGTAACGGACTTTATTTAGTGAAGCAGAGTTATAAGTAGACATGACCTTTACAATTCTGGCAGAAACCAGGATATATCAGTTTATTCTTGATCCAACATTAGATCAAAGTCTAATAATAAATTAGTGCAGTATTAATTCAATATTGGGTCAGTCGTTATTCCTACTAGGAAATGGGAATAGTCTAGAATTACTGATTGACATAGTCTCTAAAAAGCCAATGAGTAGACTTTTTTTAATGAACAATATCTTCTCCAACAATTTTCTGATAAATATGATCTTCATGAGCTGTGTAATTGAACACTCTTTGATGAATACTTATGATGCTATTTTTTCATGTAGGAATAATTTCATCATTAAAAGTACATTTTGTTCATCAATAAGGTAGACTGTGAATTTTATAGCTGCATGAGAATTTATTTACAACATATTATGAAAATATGTGAAAAATACCCTATAATTCTGGTGTTCATTGTTTTATTTAATATCATGAGAAGGAATATTCTATCTTTAACTACAGACAAAAGTATGTTGAGATAGCGTAGAATTGTCTTCAGGGGATGTCAGTCATGCGGCGGACTGGGTGACGAGCCAAACGTCAGGCTATTGAATGAAAAAGGATGTAGGGAAAGAACAAGAGAGATGGGAAAGACGGTGTTGGCGTGAAGAGAGAAGATGCTTTGTAATTACAGACTCTGATAAATGGAGTCGTGACTCGTTAATCTGCTCCAATTACATACGACGAGGGCTACCCGTGTGTCAGAAACTGTTCCAGTGTATTCCAATATTGCCAATAACATCATCTTATCAACACATTATTATTTTGACTTGAAAATAATTTAATTCTGAAAAACTATCATGCTTGTTTGGTAGAATGCAACAGTCTTGATTATTTATTACATTTTATAAAAGATAGTTGACAACATTATTGATAGTTGTTTGTAGAATAATAATGAATATTAAAAGTAAGTTAGAACAGGAAACAAAAGGACTAGTTCGATTTGACATTTACAATCTAATGGTCCCTCATATCACGTCTCGACTGGACTTAGTATGCATAAAACGGCCGTTATAATCTAGAAGTAGGATATGAACGATGCACGCGCATCATTTATTTCTGAGTAGTGATAGGTGACTGCAGAAAAAAATTTTCTAAACCAGCTGCATGTCAGAAGTAAATATATACACCCTATCTTTATAAAGGTCTGAAAAAAACCTGGCCAATGCCATGCACTGCCTTGTTTTATACCATCTGTAGTGCTTTTTGTCGTTTATAATTCACTACTGATAAGTAGGATTTTACTTCAACTGTTGAAACTGTACATTTGCAAATAGTAGCTACATTCAAGTAGAATAATACTTACTTTCTCAGACATCAATTTTTTTATTAGAATTGTAATTTGTGAAGTTACGGTAGTAGAAAAGGAATTATTTTTAGAGCCAATGGAAAAAAATTGCTGATCTGTGGGGAAATTGAAGTTGATGGTAGCAGCAATGCAGTTTTTTTTGGAGTTGAAGTCATTTTGGAAAGAAGATAAATAATTTGAGGTTTCATCGAGTGAAGGTAACTTGATAAAATGTTTGAACAATGAGCAATAAAAATTCATTGAGATTCTAGTAATTTTTAACATTAAAAGTGGATATTAATAGCAATAAATTTTTTTATAAAAAATCAATTCGGGCATTTATGAATAAAAACTGGTGTTAAAAAATTGCTTGAATATAAATTCTTTGATAAAAGAATTTTGAGCTTTTTTAAGATGAATCTAATTTTTTTCATATGTGGATAAAATATAATATTAGTATTTGATAATAAATGTTTAGAAAATTCAACGAAGATATTTTTCATTCATTTTTTATTGATTTATTTATATCAATGATTTTATAGTCACATAGATCATGCAAGAATTATGGCGAATTGCATTATTATATTTATAATCTTATCATACAGAACTATTTACAAAGAAAGTATCTCATATATATTTACTATTCATTGTTTTTCAAATTTATATATATTTATATTGTTGTATTTCTCAACAACATGGGACTTATTTCACACACCAGTTACGTTGAATCAAAATTTATAAGTTTATACATTCTCTCATTTTTTTTTCTTATTCACTAATTTGTTTAACTACTATATTGTTTTGGTATATCGTCACAGCAAATCTGTATACGAAACATTTGATTCTTTTTCTTTCTGATAACATTGAAAAAAATTAAAAGTAATCATTGTTTTGATAAAGAAGTATTATTTTAGATTTTTATTTCAGTCTCTAAATATTAAACTTGTTTTAAAAATATTTTATATGTAATTTCAATAACAAAACATATGCTCTCCATTTTAGTAATTTTTTTTTAAAATAAAAATTCTCGATATTGGATTTTATCTATTCCAAAACAGCTGCTGTTGCAAATTAATGATTTATCAATATCAGTGTATCAATGAAAATCCGTCGAGAGTTAAATTATTCATGTGTAAATAGATATATACTATGTATTTACAAATTTTAATTGTCTTTTGATATTTACACAATAATTCTTATTAATAGTAATATTTTTTATAATACTCAGGTTACTTAATCTCCTAAAAAGTAGTAAAATATGCCCTATATCAGACCAAAAATTTTCTACTCCAAAAGAAAAAACTTTTTGAAAACTTGTATTCATTTTTATTTGATACTATTTTTTATATTTTTAAATAATATACTATTTCATCTTTTTAATTTATTTGTCAAAATTATTTTTATTATTTAAATATTGCCTACTGGGTGTTGATAAATCTAAATGACGATATTTTCAAAAAACACTAATTTAAAAAATTTTTATTTATCTGATTTGTTATCATTACAAATAGATGAATGTTAATTAGTGTGAAGGTTAATACTCAGGTCTATCTTGGATGAATGTATTAAAAAAAAATTTACTACAATTGATTTGTACATTTACCAAATAATGGTAGATTCTTTATTAGAGCATATTCTAATCCACTTTTTTATTTACAAAAATTATAAAATTACGTAATATTAATAATTTCACGCAATAATTTTGAGTATTTATCTAAAAATCGACGAAAAAAATCTACTATTAAAAACCACACAGTTATCAATAGATCGTTCATCATTAAAGGCTATTATGATAAACGTTAATAAATGTATTGCCATCACGTCATAAAATATTTTACAAATATTATATATACAATGTTTTTACTAATTCAAATATATCAGCATAAAATTATGACACAATATAAAATCTATAATTACATGTCAACTTAAAAAATATCAACTGGCCTATGAATTTTTGAGAAATTGAGTATTCTCTAAAAACATAAAGAGCTTAATGCAAATATTGCATTAAAAACCCAAATTTACAAACAAAATCAATCGTCTTTATTTTTTGAACATCAAAAAAATTACTTCAACATATAACAAAAAATTTTTAACCACAGCTGTGGAAGATGTGAACCATCACTTTGAATTATTTCCCCTGTTTTACCAAATTTCTTTTCTTAGGGTTTAATTATATCATAAATTGTAATATTTATTCTTTAAAATTTCAAAATTTTTATTTGTTCTTTTTTAAAATCAACATAATAAAATTCAAAAAGTTAATTTTTGTACTTGATTAAATAAATAATCTTCAAAGACTTTTTATTCATAAAAATCTGTATTTATTCCAAAGATCTCTAGAATCGAAAGAAACTCAATTCCAATCATTTATATCCTCCCACATATCATGGATCAGATCAAAAAACATGAAGACTTTGTACGGTAATTTTTAATTATAAATTATAATTAAAAATAGATAAAAAAAAGTCTTAGTAGAAAATTTATAGATTAGACATTTTCAAAGTCCCTACTGTTCAATTGAATTAAAAGGATTTTTTATCTTGCCAATATCGTAATACCATCAATAGTCTGATGTATTGTGAGATATTGAATACTTAGGCATAATATTTATACTGATAGAGTATTTATTCTAAGGTGTTATTGAACATTCATAAGTATTATGCGTTTAATTGAATTAATACAGTCTTACTTTTTGGTGTTACAGAGGTGTGAGACCGTAGTCTGATTTAATTGAAGGTGGAACTGAAGTTGATAATCCAGGAGGACTATTGGTTGCTGGAGCTAACGGACTAATACTATCTGAATTGATATTTAGATTTGACATTGTTGAACTATTGTTTTCTAACATTCCACTCATATGGTGACTCAATTGTGCCTGTAGATGAGTCAATGAATGGGAATGTCCTTGAAAACTCGAATGAGATGGATGTGGATGAGGAAGACTAGTGTTGACTCCATGAACATCACTTATGTCTAGACTAACACTTCCGTCCAGACTACTTTCCATTCCACTCGAAGGTGAATTGTTGTTAAGTTTTCGATTAATGTTGTTTACATTACATCCTCCACTTTTCGATCGATTTCCACCATTTTTTGAAGACTTTACTGACTGCAATTGGCCATTGGTATTTTTTCGTCTGACATTTTTTGTGTTTGGCAATTTGTTATCTTTTTTCCACTTCATTCGTCTATTTTGAAACCATATTTTTATTTGTCGTTCTGTGAGAACTAGCAAGTGAGCTATCTCGATTCTTCGACGTCTCGTCAGATACCGATTGAAGTGGAATTCTTTCTCGAGCTCCAAAATTTGATGCCTGGTATATGCTGTCCTTTGTCTTTTTGGTTCTGCCCCTGGTTGAAAGGTACCGTTTGCTGCAATCATAAATAACAAATATTTAATATTTATTAAAATCATTATCAGTAATATTTTTATAATTTTTATAATACTTCATTTTGGAGCAGTTTTAAAAGCATACTGAGTGATTGATTTTCTCTTAATGTATTGAAGTAATGTATAAATTGATACATGGAGATGAAAGTAAAGGAAAAATGACCATATTTCTCGTAACAATCAGACAAGCGAGTAAAAATAGGGGTGGTTGGCTTGTACAATCAAATTTACTTTACTTCTCTAGCAAAAAAATTTTTTTCAACCAACTTTATTGTAAAGTATGAATTCCATTACACTTCTAGTCAATTTCAATTTAAGTCAATTGGAAGTTATACATTAATATATTTCTCAATTTTTTATTGTTACAGTCATTAGCGCTAAGATAATAATGATACTATAATAATGTTTCATTTATTTAAATAATATATAAAACTTTTTAGCATAATATAAATACATAGAACTACCAGTATACAAATCATGTATTGCGGCTATGATATTATGATTAAAAAAAATTGTTACAACAGTTTGAAAAAAATCATTTTCAATGATCTGTATTAGTTCATTTACTTAGAATTGCATTCGTTTCATGACCATTTTATGAATTTTAATTCAAGTTTTTACTACTCGGAGATTGAAACCTACAACCGCTTTACACGCTTATGACCTAAACCTACGCTTCAACCGACTCACTTATTCTTACACCTCTTTGGTAAACAAAAATATTGAAATAAGAAAAGAAAGAGCAATGATCGAATTAATTTATCGGCACACAACTTTTACTTTACGGCTAGTAATGTTCACTTTCCAATGTTCAGAGATCTATACGCCAATAATAAACTCTTAGAACTAAATATAAGACAAAACAAATTTTTTTAGTATAAAGTTTAATTTTAATCCACTGAAGTAATGAACTCCAAAAAATTTTTTGTTGTTTGAAAAAGTTTTATAAATTTACAATAAAATCAATGATCTTTTAAAGGCGATTACAATTTATAATATTAGAAATAAATTCAACATTATTATTTTTACTCGCTAAGAAAAACATTACGAGCCTTACTATTTTTCTCCGTGTATTTAATATATTTCTTTTTGATAAACAGAAAAGTTTAGAAATATTTAAAAACAATAGTGGATCGTATGAAAATTAACATGCAACTATTTAACCAACTGTCTTATTTTAAAAACCAAAAATTTTTCAGTAAATAGTCTAGAACTGGTCATCAATTCATCAAGCTGGTTTAATTAGCATTAATTATCGATAAGCACGGTTTCATTTTTGTTTCTTTTCCGTGTAACTGATAAACAAAATATGATAATGAAAGAGTATCCAACTTTTCAATTTTTATGGATAAATACATGACAATATCAAGTAAACTTTGACATTATTTTTTATTATTAATCGAAACAGTAAGAAACACTTTTGATTATCATTGATAATTGTTTCTAATAAAAATGTATTTTATTCATTAGTGTCATAAAGATTTTGAAAGGAACTTTTTATTTCTGCATTCATTATAAATTCTGATAAATTTCTGACCTATAAAAAAACCAAAGAATTTCACGTTTGTGTCAACTACATGAGTTTTATCAAACTTTGGGGACATGGATTGAAAATTCTTAGCAGGTATAAGGCAGTATACTACTCAAACTTGGCTTCTCTACTACTACATTTTTCAATATCGGTAGAATGATTGGATCAAGAAACCGTCGGATCGTAGCTGACCATGCATACCAATACCAAGACTGAGTATCTGGATAACATGGGGTCCAAGAAAACTAGCCATAAATTTTCTAATTAGCTTTGCTACTGTGCAGTAAATTTCTGCTTGATTGAACGTTATTAATTACTGAAATTATTCGACCAAAGAGAAAATATTAAGCTGATCCAAATATTTATCCACACCAGTGTAATTAATCTAGACATTAATAAAAACTGCTTTTTGTGACACAACAATGAAGTAACATGAATTAAAAATTTTTTTCACCACCTAAGAGTAGCTAATTCATTCAGATTAATCATAAATATAGATTGAAGTGTATTAGATAAATAAATCTAACAAAAAATGGCTTATATTTTTATTTTTAAGGGATTGTTTAATAAAAAATTTATGCAATAAAAATTGATAAATAATGCAAGTACTTATTAAAAGAAGAATTTTATCAATGAATGATAATAATGTGACTTTTGATCGTTGATTTTAATGAGTTCCATAAAAAATTCTAACTTAAAAAAAAATTAATGTTACTGATAAATAAAAAATGATTATTTTCAATGATTTGTTTGAACATTGATCATTGAAGAACATATATTCCATAAAAAATTGGTTATTTTATTGATTGATCACTTGAAGAAAAATATTCGTGGTTTGTATATATAATAATTGAGGGGAAAAAAACGAATGTATTTGCTTTGTAAATCTAAGTACGTATTTGGAGATTGAATGATCTATAAGTAGTCCAATTATTAACCATGAAATATTAGCGGTACATATTCTATTAAGAGTATCATCTTGAATAATAGTTTTCAAAGATACAGGTGAGAAGAAGGTGTGTAACAATAAATTGAGGCTTATATGTTTACCGTCGCTTAGGGAGTCTAACGACGGTGCACCATGGAAATAACAAACGACTTCACATAAATCTCACAATTCAACATAACTGTTCCCAATGATTTTTCAATAATGGGCTTGATGTGAACGCCAACATTCAAGTGTGATGATGAAAAGTGACGGTAAAGTGTTTAAGTAAAATAAAACTTGTTTTTGCCACTTAATCTTCCAGCAAAGTGGTCAGATTTGTTCCACATAGTAAATCATCATGGGAAAGCTGAATATTCTTCTCTCTTTTCACTGACATGCATTCAAATGCTATTATGAAAAACTAATATTATAAAATAATTAATTTTATGAATATTAGATATTGATAAAAATGTAAAATTTTTTCCTTTTGATAAAACATTTATGATGAAATGTTTTTCAGTAACAAGGAATGCAACATGAAGGAATCCTTTCTTTCTTATATCTGAATCTTTTTGTAGGATAATATTTTTAAAATAAAAACAATTTTAATTAAATTATTTTCTGTTATCGTTCTTGTTAGTATATTGATTAATATTACATAAAAAAGTATAATAACGTGTTCTGTTAACGGATGCTAGAGTGCATAATTTTTGTTTTACATGTAAGTTCTTCCCTTAAATAACAGTGCACATGTAGATGAAAGATATGAAATAATTTCAACGAATAATTGCAGGCTATATAATCAATGACTACAGAAGCATGTCATCGGAGTAATATACTTAGAAATAAAAATAATTAATAGATAATTATAGTGTTGAGTTGCATTTAAACTTACCAACGCCAGCAACGTGTACTTTTTTCATCCAAGGGTAAACCACTCGGTCTTTATTTTTATCATCATCATCATCATCTTCCATCATGCCGGGTGATCCATCAGTTATAGGATCATCATCCATATCATCTTGATCAGAGAGATCATCAACAAAATGTTGCTGTTGTTGAGAGTTCTGTATATGTCCCTGGTGTTGACTGGTCGATTGCAAATCCGGTGAAGTATCTCGCTGGAGGGAACCAGATTGAGGAGGACTACATGCATTACTTTCATGCTGTTGTTGCTGTTGCGATTGTTGAGACTGTGACTGATGCAGATGCTGTTGAGCGTCAGGAGGTTGTACGTGACTAGGCAATATCGAAGGTGATAAAGCTGTAGATCCTAAAACAGTGGATGACAAAGGTGGAGGTTGTTGGGGTTGCTGTTGTTGCTGCTGTTGATTTTGCATTGAAGTTGAACAAGTAAGCGGCGGTTGCTGTGCTTCTGGTGGCATTGCTAGAGTACCAATAGCATGATGATGAGGATGAAGATTGGCATGATGTACAGCATGAACTTGATGATGAGGATGATGTGGACTATAATAGCCACCGTAGCCTGGATATCCACCATTCAATGGAACAGCAGATGTAGTTCCATAAGGCGTGGATACAGCTTGATGATGGTGTTGGTGATAGCCATACTGCAGCTGATGCGATTGGGAATGATTCAGATGGTGACTCCCTCCAAAAAAATCACCTCCAGGCGATGAAATGTAATTACTTTGGTTGTATTCATCATTCGGTGGAAATTTTGGATCAACCATCACTGACGATCCAGATATGTGATGTACTGATGCTTGTTGATGTTGCTGGTGATATCCACCGTTAGTGGACGGATTCATCAAGAAAGAACTCATCTCTCCAGCCTGTCACTTGATTTACTTATTCACCAATAATTCTACACTTGTTTGTGGATTTAAAATCCTCCTAAATGTCAAACTCTAATTCAAACACAAGTTTATGATATATTTAAACACATAATCACTGCACAATAAGTCATTATATCACTAACAGAACATGATTTGTAACTTGGAAAAATATCCAATCTTTAATTTGAATATACAGTAGTGTCAATAATAAAACTAAAAATCACTATAGTCATATATAAACTGTATATCCACTCACTTTGCTAGCTCGTCATCGGTGAGTTTGCGATCTTCCACACCGTAAGCCCCGCAACTTCCTACATGTAGCGAACGCCACATGAAGTCTGGCGGTTCCCGCCCACTGTACACCAATTACCATACCACGTGACCAACTTGGACCAATCAGAATAATGCTACGTCTGCAACCATGATGGATAACCGGCACACATGCAACACGTGAGTGGCGCCTCAGGACTGTTGCGGCAGGTGCAATAACTTCTTTGTATGCTTGTGTTTCAATTGCAACATACACTTATTGAACGTAAGTAAGACTATTTCATTAACACAAATAATTTTATTATTTTTTAAATTTACTCCAAAATGGATTTAATTGTTTCACAGTTCAAGGAACGTTTTTTTTAAATATATAATTATAAATTAAATAAATTATTTCACTGACATTCCATTCAATTACTAGCTAATTAATTAGCAACTGTGTTACCAACTACACCGCACTCATGTATTTTTATTTAATTAACGGAGTAAAGTGTGAGATAAGCAAGGAAACTAAGAACTGTGAATTCGTTTAGGTGAACTCACACAATTCTGAACTCGAACTCGTCTGACAGCCCTGTCTTGCTACCACTCTCCCTTCCAGCAAGCTCAGGCGGTAGCGTTTACAATGAGTCTCCTTGCCCGCATGTATCGAGAATTCTCCCCTCTCTAGAATCTATTCCCCACCCTCTAGAAAATGGAAAGCCAACCCCTGTTCTCTGAGAACTCTGGACCAATATGTGCTGGCGGTATTACTATGCTCTCTTCAAGTCATTTCTACGCTTTTCTTTAACAATAAACTATTTCTAATAAACAAATATTTTTTTGTTTCATTTTCTTTCTCTTTTTTTTCAAATCATCAATAATGCTAATAATTTAATCAATACCTGAAATTTCTCATTTTTTGAGATCTTAATTATTTAATTATTTCCGATTGAAAAAAATAGTAGGATGTTAATTATTAGGCTGAAGTTTATTGTCGAAGAAAAGACAACATAAAAGAGTATGAATGATTCAAAAAATTTTCACATTTTTGAGATTTAAAAGAATTTACATCCTGTCATATTACATAAGCAATGATTATTAGAATGTAGTTTTGAGGTATGTGTCCTTTGATTGATTGCAAGAGTAATTTATTTAATTGAGTTATTGCAGTTGCAGTTATTTATTACATCATTAATGCAACATTTGAAAATGCTATTCTGATCGTCCAATCTAAGATATTTATTTGTTGAAAGTAGCAATAGTAGTCATGTATGATTACTGCCTTGACCGTCATAACCTATAACGTTATAACCGCAATCTAGAAAACATCCAGTCGAACTCGGCCAAGTACGTCAACTGCTAGCGTTCATGTATGAGGGGAGAACGAGCTCTATAAAATGCAAAGTCATTATGGAAATATATACAAGTCATTGCGCTGTGTCGAGGGATATATAGTAATACAATCTTTCTATGTTATATACATTTAAATGCAACTGCTATATATACAATAACTAAATTTAAACCTATCGATTTTGTTTCAGCTGAATAAACTCAAATTTTCTTTATAGCTTTTATATCAGATATAATAATGTAATTCTCTGACAGCAACTACAGTCCAGATGGTTGGATGAGTCTTGATTTGTGAATTTCCAAAGAAACTCCAAAACTGATCAAAATTTTATGAATTTACTTTTGAAGTGGATCTCCTACATACTGCAATAAAAAATGAATGCGAATGTAACAGAAATTATTTTGGATAAATTTTGAAGTGAGAAGAACAATTAGATCTATTTTGAAGTATCAAACATCTCCAAGGACCAGGTTTATTATTTTCTTGAAGCTTTTTAAAATTTTACACAAGTCTTGCCAGGATGTCTATTATTTTCTCATATTTCTCCAAGATTTACGTAGCTGTTTTTATCATCTTCCACTGGTTATTTTTTATCCGACTTGAAGAAATTTAATGTTCTTAATAATACTAAATATCAGCATGATTGTCTTATTGCTGGGAACTTTAATAAATTTTTTTCTTTAGAGAAAAATAAGTTTCAGTCAGGTTGAGAGCAATGATGGTGAATTGAAATCAATAAAATGAGATTAGTTAGCTGAGCTATCTTTATTAAAATTATTTTTATTGATCCAAATATTCATGGAAGATGTGTTCAACTTTTTCCGAATATTTAGTCATTCAAATTTACTTCTTTGTTCCTACTATCAACCTGAAATTTATTTTTTTATCCTCAAATTAGGTTTTTTTTTTCTTCATCACACTTCCATCAGCTGAAGATTATTTCATAAGAAAATAAATGATACCTACCACATAGAGCAGCAAATAACCATACTCAAAAATAAGACATTTCCAGTTCAGTTATAGACCTACATTTCTAATATTAATGATACCAAAGTTAAATAAATGATGTAAAACAGGATGTACATAATTATACCATACCTTCCAGGATATTTTTCTTGGTGCATAAGATGTCTTCTTTGTTCTAGTGTTACTTTTTCAGCTGCTACATATACTCAATGATTTCCAATAATTCAATGACCAATAATTTTATTAATTATGTCTAACTCTCCTAACAATATGTATCACATTTAAAACACATTTAATAATTCTTCAAACGTTTAAACGGGTTAAACATATGATGCAGTAAATTCTGTACGGCTTGTAGACGACATATGAAGGTTTCCACCATCATCAGCTGAAAGTCTGGTGAAAACCCTATCGTTTACAATAAATGCAGTAGTTAAACCGAGGAAAAGGTCAAGGCAACCGTAAATAATTCATATAAATTGTTTTCGTCCACAGAAAACGTACAGAATGAAGAACAGAAGACAACATATTGATTTTTACAAATTTCCCGAAAAATACACAATAATCACATGTGAAAATTAATCAATAACAAATTTGAAAGTATCCTCTTCCAACTTCAAAAAAGCATTAATAATTTGTGAATGTTGAATATTCACAAGCCAAAGAAATAAGTTCTTTGTGGAAGTAGAACCATGAAATAATTCAACAAAATAGCACTGCATGAGAGTATATATATATAACATTGTGCTACATCTTTTTTGTCATCATCCAGACTTTTTCATTGCTGTCACGTTGCTTTTATTTCTCTCTTCCAACTAGTCCAGCTCTCACGTTAGTCCTTATAAGAAGAGATGGCTTTCGAGTAGAATCAGTAAGAGTTTGGAGATTGTTGACGGCTATTGCGGAAAACTCAAACAATGAGGCGGGGGTGTCTGTGAGAAGACACAGAGGGTGATACAAACACTGGATCAAGAAAGAAATAGACTATCGATGAAAAAGATGAAACAGGGGCAGAAATTCAAGGGAGACAACCGGGGTGTTGTCTTCTCGTTTGGAGTGCGACCTCTTCTTTTCTATCATTATTGTGTGCTGGAAACGTTTTTCCTTTTTCTCCATCTCTTTTCAGAATGCACGGTTATACGATAGTCGCCACCCCTACCCCTTGTTTTTGCTTCAGCTCCCGTACTTCGCTCCTTTTCTCTTCCGGTAAAACACAATCAATCACTCCTCCAGGTCTCTTGGCATGACACCCCCTTTTACTCCTACTACCACCCTCTCTGCAGCTCAGAGAAACCCCTATATATTTCTCTTACGTTCTCTGAGTGATCCCTCCCTCTTTTCATTTCTCATACACAAATACATCTCCACTCTATATCTCCACATCTCTCCTCGTTTTCTATGATTTTGTTTTCTAGGTTGTTGGTTTATTTATTTTCCTTGGTTCTTATCATGGTGGATGTAAGATCTTACATTTGGAGTAAATAAAAAACATGCGCAGAGAATAATGTAAATTCAATTATTATATTCAAGCTTTTATGCATTTACATGAAAATGTGGAAATGAGATAAAAAATGGTGGAAAATTTTTGGAGTGTATTCAAATATTGTTGTCCTATTTCAAGCTCAGCTTATAGATGTGACTAAAATATTTACAACCATGTTGAACAAATATTTGTATAAAAATTATCCAACTTGGTTTATAGAAGCATTTTTTCTTATTAAATAAATGAAATTTTAAGATTAAAAGAAATTTAAATTGTAAAGATCATTGCATATCATGTAAAAAAAAATTATCTACTTAAAGGGTTTAGATTTCACTTAAAATAAAGTGTCAAAATTAATTCAATAATGAAGACATAAAAATATTGTATAAACCATTGGTTATGATTAATTATCTATTTTTTCATTCAACTATCAAATATAATAGTTACCCAAGATCACTTGGAATTACTGCAGAATCATTATATATTAATAATCTCATCCAGAAAAGATGATTCTGAAAAATCTTATAAAATTCATCATTTAAAAATTATTAAGTCAAAATATGTCATTAGACACATCAATACCTCTATTCACATTTTTATTTAATAACTCCATTTTAATGCCACTGTATTTTCATATTTTGTCATCTTCAAGACTGATCGATCAGTATATCCTTTTCTTGCTACAGATAACATCTCAATATTTTGACAGCAATTTGAAAAAAAAAAACTTAAATTTCCATTTCCCTAAACAGTAATAGATATATTTTTCCAATAACAATCATTTAGATTCCCATTTCATGCATGTCTTTTTATGGTATGTATCCTACATGGTACTATTATACAGATTATATGATAGAATAGACTTAAGAGTATTCGAAATGTGTTTGCAGTTGGAGAAATACGTTGCAAACTCGAAAAAAGCCGCCTGATGAA